TACGGTATGATGTAGTATGATACTATTTATATGATATGATATAATTTGATGCTATTTGATACGATATGATATAGTATTATGCTATATGATACGATATGATACAGTATATATAGTATGATGCTATATGATACAGTTGATACGGTATGATGTTGTATGATACTATATGATGCTATATTATACGATATGATTAAATATGATGCTATTGATACGGTATGATACGGTACGATACTTTATGATGCAATATGATACGGTGTGATACGGTATGATGTAGTAATGATACTATATGATGCTATATTATATGATATGATATAATTTGATGCTATTTGATACGATATGATATAGTATGATGCTATATGATACGATATGATACAGTATGATATAGTATGATGCTATATGATACAGTATGATACGGTATGATGTTGTATGATACTATATGATGCTATATTATACGATATGATATAATATGATGCTATATGATACAGTATGATACGGTATGATATTGTATGATACTTTATGATGCTATATTATACGATATGATATAATATGATGCTATATGATACGATATGATACAGTATGATATAGTATGATACTATATGATGCTATATTATACGATATGATATAATGATATTGATATATGATATATATAGTATGATGCTATATGATGCTATATTATACGATATGATATAATATGATCCTATATGATACGATATGAATATCATATATATAATGATGATACTTGATATAGTATGATGCAATATGATACAGTGTGACACGGTATGATACGGTATGATATAGTACGATACTATATGATGCAGTATGATACGGTGTGATATAGTATGATGCTTAATGATATGATATGATACAATAGATGTTTAAAAAAGGGTGTTGTATGCATATTGGTGTATACTGAACATGGAATTATTACCACAAACATTTCCTGGCAATCTTTGCGCCATTTTAACGATGACGGGGGAACTTCGTCAACGTCAATGTTTTTTCCTTCCATTTGGAATCGCCATTGACGACAGGCACGGACCCTTTCAACCCATGTTGTTCTTTTGCTTCCAACGTTCGTCATGTTATGCAAAGCCGCCAATCGTTTAATTTGTCCGTCTGTTAAATTATGGTCGTACAGTTGTATTCCAACTTTGGCAATTTCTTTCTTGCTAAATGACGACGCCTGAGGGAAAGATTTTTTGATATCAATTTTTTTAAGATTTATTGGATTGCAACGTCCCAGACTCATAGGCGTACGGGCGCAACTTCGTTTTAGCCACGTAACTCTTTCAGTTTACCCGAATTTTCAGTTCAAATGATTCTTCTTGAATTTGCAAGTGTTCCCTCTACCCCCCTAACCCGTACGCCTATGTTCAGACTTGCTCTTTCTCGTCGTTTATGCCTTTTTTCTCTATACACACTATCAACATTTAATTAAATTTGTGTTTTGCATTCGAGTGTTTTAAATACGTTGGTGTTGTCAACGATGAGCGCCTCCTAGTTAGAGTAACAACGCAATTTTATCTGAAATCGTACACCAACTTACTCTTTCATACGCTTTTTTCCGATGCAGTCCACCGATAAGCGTGACTTCGCAACCTTTTACGTCGGCGGCTTGCCGAATACCGTCCCTTGGTACTTGACAAATGCCAAGCCAAAGTTGGTTATTAACCATCGCACAGGGATTCTCCTTGAGTATGGCAACTAGCTCTGCCACGTGATGATCGTCGTCGATTGGGCGATCAAGCCATTTTGCCGGTGGTTCTTTAAAAGTTGACCATCTCAATTAAAATATGCCTTTCAAAAATGATAAAAAACATGGATTATATGTAGTTACAACAATCTCGAATCGAAATTAGAAATAGGCATTTACCTAATCGATAAGCATCCAGCTCACTGTCTTCTGTTCGTGGAACAATCTTTTTTTTTCCAGGACTGACTAATTCTTCAGTTTTATTGTCCTCATAATTGAGCTTTCGTTTGCCTGATTTTTTTCGTTTTCCGTGCGCAGTAGAAGTGGAAGGTACGCTTGTTATAAGCGCTGAGGACGGTTCCTTCAATGTTTCAGGAGTCTGTGGACGCGAAGATATGTTCCACTGTTTTTCAAACTGAGTTGCAGTTTTGCAGACACTGAAGACATCGCTAAACTTATCAACACCATAATATTGGTAATCTTTTAAACTATATCTGATCACACTCTTGCCCCTTGGTTCCTGAAGATTACTGAATATTACCTTCACAGGAACAGAACAAAAAATGTACAGTAGTCCCCCGTTAACTCGAACTCGCTTAACTCGAACTTCTCGCTAATTCGAACTAAATCCAATTCCCCTTGAATTTGACAGTGTTTTTTATAGTAATTTACTCCGCTTAACTCGAACTCGCTCAACTCGAACTCCTCTCTAATTCGAACAAATTTTGTTTCCCCTTCGTCAAATATATCCGGTTAACTCGAACTTTGGTTTCGAATCATAGATCAGCGAACGTTAAAATGTGAGAAGATTGAATTTTGACAACTGGAAACTATCAAAATAACAACAAGTTAATCAGTGTATAATTGTATATAAATGCTTATAAATTTTAAAAGATTTTGTGTGGTGCTACGGTCGTTATTGATCTAACTTTTTTAGTTCCTTTTGTATTCTTTCGATCTTTTTAATTTTCAGATGTCGTCCACTCTCGCTGACCATTCATAATGGGAGGCCTGGTATCCCTTGATGAATAATTCGATTGGATTTTATATCTTATTGTATTACTTATATAATAAACGTAATCTGACACCAACTCCGGTTAACCCGAACCCCCGGTAACTCAAACAATTTTTCTTTCCCCTTGGGAGTTCGAGTTAGCGAGGGATTACTGTAGCATGGTTTGTGGGTGTACAATATAGAATTTTTTAAGTTTAACATACCACAAAAATCCGTTGCTATTTCTTTTGCAAGCTCCACTGAGTTGACCAGGCTGGAAGCACTGATAAAGTGGATGTTGCTGAATTTTGAAATCTCTTTTCTTGGTAGGGATTCAAGAAACATGGAATAACTCTCCAAACGATTCCATTTTTTCCTTCGGTTCCCGCTCGTCTCGTCAGAAAAAATGACAAGTGTTAGAGTCAATTTTGGTTTACCAGCAGCTGCTATCTTAGTTGGATGCATGCGGTCTTTCCATCTCTTCCACTTCCTAGGTTTAACGAGAACTGTAAAACCTACTTTCGATCTGCGAGGTGAATTATATTAGCGCGGTCGCTTCTATGCTACTGAAGCTTGTGGTAGCTTACTTTTTTTTCAGCAAAAAGCGAAAATTGTATTGAAAATATTCTATTTTTTCACATTGTCTGTATTAAAATGGGTCATTGTTTACTGCCGACACTGGTATACATAGAAACAATCCATTAGGCAAGGCGCACACGACGCGATTTTTGTCGTATACCATTTTAGTCGACCGATCCTAAACAACATATCAAACTTTTCATATAATCCGCTTGTAGTCCGCCGACTAAATTCTAAAATCGGCCAAAAAATAGGCCAGGATTTACATGTGATTATGAGCATAAATTCACTGGTTCCAAGATATCATTGCTAACCAAACTGGTAACATTAACAACCATAGGCATGGGTTAATTTTAGCAATTATTTTTTAACAAAATATTGTGCCCTTATATATGATAGGATTAGCATCAGAATTTTCTTAATATATCTTAAAGTGACTCCATACAGTTTCTTGAATTTCAATAAAACTTCATGTAATAATGCATTATTATAATAAAGGCCTATTATCTATCTGCCTGCTGAAATATTTAACACTTATTTACTGCGACCGAAGGAAACATTGTGTTTTGTGGACCCGAGACCTGTCGATATTTCACGAGGCGAAGCCGAGGGTCCACTAAACATAATAGGGACCTTAAGATCTACGACGTCAATAATCTACGACGGCAAGCGGAAGTAGTTTTGCAATGTTTGCAGTAAATGCGCATGCGTTGGCTTAGACCTGGCGTCGTCGAAAAAGGTCGAGAACGTGAAAACAAGTAGTTTGGCGTCCCAGCTACAACGTGAACGCTTTTTTAAATTTTCTGGTCATTTTAGTTGCTGTAAGTATCATTTATCAGTATTTAAAACTTGTTTTTAATCACTTCTATACAAGTAAATAGATAATTTTCATACTTTTTTTTTCTAAAGACAAAAAATGCTAAATGACAGCTCTTTCATTTTTTGCAGTCGCAGACACGACTTATCTGATGGAATGGTCAGATGAACACGATGTTTTGCTGGGCCGGGAGATACTTTTAGTCGACCCATTTAAAGCTAAACCCCGAACAAATCTCCGTGGTCAGTTATGGACAAAGATAGCAGATTCTTTGAACGGTTTGAAGGTTCCAAAATTTTCTGTATCTCAGAGATCTTCGTGATCGTTTCAAACTTTTGGCTGAAAAATTTAAAAAGAAAATTTCAGCTGAAGAGCGCGGGTCTGGAATATCTCCAGAAATGTCAGAGTTAGATGTCTTACTGGAAGAAATCCTTGAACTTGAGGAAAAGTATAGTGAAGAGTATATGCAAGACACAGCAGAAAAAACAAAAAAAGACCAAGAAGACAAAGAAAATGCAGAAGATATGAGGTTGAAGGCCATGGAGACTTTAAAAGAAACACAGAAGAGAAAAGCATTAGCTGATGGGAATGAGAAAAGAGAAAAGAGAAGAAGCAATGGGTCAGAGGCTTTGAGTTTTTTACGGGAAAGGATGGATAATGAGAATGAGTATCGAGAGAAGGAATTAGACATGAGGAAGAAAGATGTTGAACTGGAAGAGAAAAAAATAGAGCGAGAAGAAAAGCAGCATCAAGATATAATGCAAATGATGCAAATGCAACAACAGCAAATGCAACAAATGCAAATGAACTTTTTCCAGTCACAAGCCCAACAGCAGCAGCTTTTGATGGGAATCATTGAGAAACTGTCAAAATAAACAATTGAAATATGGGTAAGAATCTTTTTAATGTTTAAATGTTACGGTGTTCTACCCAACTGTTTGTTAAATTATAACTGTTACATAAGGTAAACAAATTATGGCCTTTCACAAAGGATTTCTGATGGATTTCCCCCCCCTTGTCTAGCATTTTCTGAATTGGTGACCCCATTCCCCTCAAACATCTGCAATGTTTGCAAAAAGGTATGCATGCACCTTGTATATCTCAGTGGAAAAAGCTATTATTTCACAGCATTGTTAAATTCCTCATTGAAGAAAAAAATTAGTTAAAATAATAGAGTTAGAAATTTTAAATGGAGGCAAAATGATTGCTACACCCCCTATGCCTGCATTTGTTCTGACCCATGACTTGAACATTCTTTGTGAAATGGCCCCTAATAACAATCTTGAAATAACAGTAATAATAATAAAATGAATGTCAGCCTGTTAGGCTATCATATCTATTTGTAAGAACTATGTTATTAAACTTTTCTTGATGTTTCATAATGTATTTCATGAATTATTCCTCAGCAAGATACTCTTGGATTTTAGGTGGTGGAAGGTCGAAGAATTCAGATGTTACATTGCCATACATACATGTAATGCAATTTCTCAATATACCCGATACAATGTACATTTTTCCAACAGCACTTAAAGCAATTTTTAAGTTCTTTTTAAAGTCAACAAATTTAAAACTATTGACAATGTCCCCAAAAAGCCATTCTACAGAGACACGAACACTACTCATACTTTTGTTAAATGCCTCCATGTCAGGATTAGGTTGTACTAGTCTGAATGGAGCTTGTAGATGAGTCCTGAGTGGGTATGCAGGATCCCCATAAATGCACATTGGTTGCCCATTTGTGCCATAGGCATGCTCTTCCAGCATTTCCATTAGCCCCGAGTATCGAAGCATGCCAGCATCATGTCTCTTTCCCTCTACAAATAAAAAGAAACAGATTTTACACTTTAACACTTATTGCCTGTCCCCCCAGACTGGATAAATGCAAAGTAACCTTTAAAGGGATTTGTTAAAATCAAATTCAGAATAAAAAGACCAGGTTAAAAATGCACGTACTTACCCACAGGCCCATAAAGGTTTGCTATCATGCCATTTGGGGTTACCACAGATTGAAATTTCAGGGCATGGTGCCTCTTGTGGCCATTGTAAACATGTTTTTGGTGTTCGTCTGGCCTACAAATCGCTTTCACAGTCCCATCAACGAACCCAAAACAATTTGTAAGTGCTGCTCCTTTGTTTGTGATAGCCTCTGCATATCTTTCTAGTTGTATGGGGTTTAGCAGCAGATTGTTCCACTGTTTAATACGGTGGTTGTGGCGTTCGTAAACAAACGAAATCACTTCGTTAAAGATCATCGATAGCTCTGGCACTGGTCTGCCAAAGCGCGGAACCAGATCACTCAAACGGCAAGGATAAGCCAAACGCCGAAGCATGAGACAAAGGCCTTCTGTTCCGTCGCATATCGTTCCTTGTGGGCAGTAAAACACTTCAGGAATCCTCAAAGCCGCAGCTAGATCTGGAATGTCATGTTTTCTGAACCGAAATTCAGCAAAACACTCGTCTTCCCCCAATTCGTCAAGCTTGAATCGCCCATATGATTCGTATGGTAAATATAAGTTTTTCGGCGTGTACAACTGGCTTAGAATTGCAAACTCAACGTCGTCTATATCTCCGAGTGCATAACAAACTGTTATGAGTTCAAGCAACTCTTTAAAATTCATTTACATGATGAAAAATACCTTTTTTAATTGAAATTTTTTTAAAAATTTGTTTGTTTACAATATGACGTCAACGTTGTCAATTGCAACGTCGTGAATCTTAAACGGAAGTAAAACGACGCTCGACCGCGTCCTCGTCCTAGTGCTCTACTCGGATATGAGGTTGACGTCGAGGTCGACGTCGTAGATCTTAAGGTCCCTAATGTATATTGCTGTGAGCTCGAAAATCGCGAAGCTTTTTTTAAAAACAAGATCGTAAAAGTTTTCTAGTATTCATACTTAAGTTGCAAATCGCTTCATCGCAGCGCTAAGAAGTGAAAAGTATACTAAGTGGGTCTAGAATTTTTATTTTTCTTCAGTTAATTATAAAAGCTAGACTCGAATTGTCCAAGAACGCGGCATAGCAGAATTGTCCTCGCGACATAGCAGAACAGTTCAACGACAACACAACTCCATCAGTCAGTCCTTCTACGCCATTTGATTGCACCTTGTCAGAGTTAAATTTTTCTCCTGCTGATATTCTAGCTGCTCTCCTCAGCCTCGATACCAACAAAGCCACAGGTCCGGATAAAATACCACCAAGAATACTGAAAGAATGTGCTCACCAAATTTCTACGTCATTATGTCTGTTGTTTAATCGATCACTCCAAAATGGCTCCTTACCGCAGGAATGGAAACTCATCCCCATCCATAAAAAGGGTGAAATCTTCAAGGTTGAAAACTACCGTCCAATTTCGCTCTTGTGTGTAATATCCAAAGTCCTTGAGTGATGGGTTCTAAAAAAGCCGAGAGACCATCTGATGTCCCTGATTAACTCTTCCGAACATGGTTTCATCCCTGGAAAGTCGTGTACAACCCAGCTAGTTGAAGTCTTGCACCACATTGGATCCATTTTAGGCTGTGGTAAACAAACTGATATGATTGATATTCATGGACATGTCAAAGGCTTTTGACAAGGTCAACCATGCAGTCCTGGTAAACAAACTCCAACAATATAACATCGACGGATCTCTTCCTCAATGGTTCACCTCGTATCTTCATGACCGCCAACAGCGCGTCACAACTCTTGGCGCCACTTCCTTCCAAAAACCAGTGTGCTCCGGTGTTCCGCAAGGCAGTATCTTAGGACCAATACTTTTCCTCCTGTACATCAACGACTTACCAGATGTTGTGACCAATTCGTCAGTTGCGTGTTTTGCTGATGACACGAAAATCTTTCGCAGAATTGACTCCATCTCTGATGCCATTTTACTCCAAGACGACATCAATAACCTTGAATCCTGGTCCAAGTCAAGTGGTCTCGTGTTTAACGAAGAAAAATGCAAAAGTCTTAGCATCACCAGACGTAGCCAACCAATCAAACATCCATACAGCATCAAAAGCAAAGAACTTATACCTACCTCCGGACAGAAGGATCTAGGGCTCTGGATCGCGAGTGATCTAACCTGGTCGAAACATGTTTCTGAGCGATGTGCCCGAGCTAACAAACTTCTCGAACTTGTAAAGCGCTGTTCTGGAGAAACAAGCAACGTGTGGATCCGCCGGAATCTGTATCTGTCCTTGGTCCGCTCAGTTTTTTGCTACTCAAGCCAGGTTTGGTCGCCTAACCATTACCCTCATCCAACGTGTGGAGCGGGTCCAAAGGAGGGCGACGAAGTACATTTTAAATCTTCCGTACATGTGCAGGGAGAACTATCAGGAACGACCAGCCAGTTTGGGCCTCTTACCACTATCTTACTGGCATGAATACTTGGATGTCTTGTTTTTTTTCAAAGCAGTGAACGGCTTGGTAGACGTGTCCCATGACGTCCTCCCTGAAGTCATATCTCAAACCAGAACGACCAGATCCTCCCACGGCAACCAAATCTCCTTTCGGCCAGCCAAATGCAAAATCACTACCTACCAACACTCCTTCTTTATTCGTGTAACTAGAACCTGGAATTCCTTACCAACCACATTTGAAAATCTCCGGGCATTAATATTAAGCAACTCAAAACTGCTTTACTAAATTATTACCTGACAGCCCTGATTGAATGCTTCAATGAAGAAGATCCGAGGACATGGAAGACCATTTGTCTGAAGTGCAACACTAGCGGTCTCTTACATTCTAAATTAACTTGTTGTTTTTAGACTCCTGTCATATTGTATATTATGTTAATTGTGTGTATTTTTGTAAAAAGGTCCCACAGTAATTGGTTTGTTTTTGTCCAGACGCCTGTTCGACGTCCTGTCATTTGTATTGGCAAGATTGGGCTAGATCATTTGCTCGAATTTGCTCTTCACTCATACTTGATCTCAAGTTCTGCAACACCAGCTTGTTTTGGGCATGTCGATGATTAATTATCTCACAGCGCATATCGTAGATAGATGCTCCATTTTTATTTGCTGGAGCGTCATCATTCTGATGGATGATCTTGCTTGAGAGATTTTGACAGATGGTCTTTGAGTTCTCATTTTCTTCATCGCACAGGTCGGAGAAGATAGGTATTCCAAGACCCCCCATTCTCGTCGGCAGTGACAGTAACTTCCTCTCATGGATGGAAACACTACGGTTGTCTAGGAGCGCTGGCAGGAGCTTCAGGCTGATGGAATCATCTACCACTCGCATCGCAGCCTTGATACCTGGAACAGTGCGCATATGGTAATAAAATCTGTGCCGAAACCCTGATACAAATGCAGCATATGCAACTTGGGGCTCAAATTTAGCAATTTCACTTAAAACGTGGAGTTGCTGACACCATTTACTAACTAAAGCCGAAATGTACTTATCTTTCCCATCTTCAGAGCCAAGATATCCTTCAAGGTACTTATGTCCTTCAGTTGCTATACGAACACCAGTACCAGCAAACATCTCTTTGGCAGTCTGCTCCAGGTGCGGCTTCACAATCAACCAGGATTTGTCAGCACGCGGATAGTAACCAAGACGGAGACCATGAATAGCAATGTTCTTCCACCAGGAACGCAAATGAGCAAGTCTACCAGCACCACTAAGGTCATCAGCAAAGGCAACTTGTCGAACATCACTAGCTTCATCAGATTTAATCAACTGCAGCAAGGGTGTAATGGCAACAGCATACAGCGGCATGGCTAATGGATCACCCTGTGTGGTACCTTCTGCAGAAGTAATTTCTTTCCCTCCTTGGACAAACAATCTTGATGCTGTGACATAACAGTTGAAGGTGTCAATTGCCATGGCAGGACAAATGTACTGAATGTTGTGCAACATGATTCTCCGGTTAATTGAGTTGAATGCGTTTGTAGCATCCGCCAATAACACAGCATCCGCCTCATCTCCTGCAAAGATTTCTGACATGGCATGAACTGCCGCCTCACTGCCAGCTGGTTGTCCAGCACAAAGCTGAACATCACCTGCACTTTCCATGATTTGAGGCTTGATTGCAAAGATAATTGACTTCCCGATGATCCTACGAAGCACTTCACCAATTCCGATGGGACGAACACCTGGGTTCTTATCCAGTGGTATTAGGCGACACGCCAAAAACGCCTCCAAACTTGTGGTCTGATCTGGTTCAAAGTGTAAATTGCCATGGCAGGACAAGTGTACTGAATGTTGTGCAACATGATTCTCCGGTTAATTGAGTTGAATGCGTTTGTAGCATCCACCAATAACACAGCATCCATCTCATCTCCAACAGGTATTTATAAAAGCCTTCTGTTTTTTTGTTTTCTGTGTCTTCACGTTTTTTTTTCTACTTTTCTTAAACTTTAACTTTACCCCCGGATGCTTGACATGCACACTTCATTGGTTATTTTCTTGGCCAATCAGATTCGTTGCTCAAACCGCATTTTATGTCTTGCATGGTCCCACGATATTTTTCGGCAAATAGGCAAAAGTTTTGTACATTTTTTGTGCATTTTCATTTGTTTTTTAAAATTTTTTAATGGAATAATGTTGTTGGAGTATCTAAAATGTATTTGTGATAATTTATTTGAAGGATTTTCGTTGTTTTGATATGAAATTTTGCGAGTGAACTCAGTGGCGTAGCCAGCATCGATAATTGGGGGGGCCCATATTCATATATTCATGTTAACAGACTGTAATTGATTTGAAAAGAAATCAAACCTGCGCATCACGAATATATGAATATGGGCCCCCCCAATTATCGTTCTGGCTACGCCATTGAGTGAACTTCGTATGTATGCTTATATTAGTACAAGAGTTTCCATCCTTTTCAATAACTAATCTTATATGGTTCGCGATCAATGACCTCACTGAACTCGCAACGTAACTGGGCTATTTACTTATTATTTCAAAAATATTTATTGGGATTCCTATGGTATCCCCCACCAATATTGGGCCGAACTCCGGCGCATGACAGGATATTCAGCTCCAGGTTCGTGGCTCCAGGTTCGCAAATCTGGAGCTGGCTCCAGAAAGCATTAGAAGTTGATGTAAGTCACATAAAGCAGATAAGAAGTTGATGTAAGTCATGTAATTGTTTTCTCTGGTATTTTAATTTCATTGACAGTATTGTGCTTCTGACCTCTTCTTATATAATATCTCATTTACTGTTTTCCACGCATGTTTTGGACTCGTTTTGTTATTGAGGAATTTTGTTGCATAGTATTCCCTTTTGGCATTTCGCAAAGCAATGCCTAAGTAAGCTAGTGCGCGCAATATAAACTGCAAAAAGCGGAGCACAGAAATGTTTGCACAATCCCATACTTCACAAAGAATACTGACGACACCACAGAAGATTTTTTAGTAAACCCAGGTAATTTGAACTCGACAGGGATGACAGCTTCAGGCAATATACGCATTTAGCGCAAGTCGAGAAGTTTAAGCTCGGAAGAGCGCCGAGGAACGGTCAGGGCAAGCAAAATAGTTAACTTCTGCGTGAGCAATTTCAATGACAAATCCTAATTTCGAGGAAGCAAGCGCAAATAGATTAAGATGACGTCAACGCTCCATGTCTGCTGATAGCGTAGAACACCCTTGAGCAAACGAGTAGGTGTTGTCCCACCGGGAAGCCGTCTGGTCAAGGGCATCCAAGGCAATGGCTATCGGGTCTGGCTTCCAACTGAGGAACTGGGGCAATTGAGCATTCAGTCTTTCGGTGAACAGATCCTTGGCACAAGTTCCACGAATCTGCAT